CTGAGAGAGCACAGGCAGTAATGTCTCTGACATCGGCCATGCCAACATTTTTCTAGATAGGTCTCCTGAAACAAAGGGAGATAAAAGCAAAAATAAACTACTGGGATTACATCAAAATAAAAAGCTTTTGAACAACAAAGGAAACAATCAACATAACTAAAAGGGAACCTACTGAATGGGAGAAGACACCTGGCAAATGACATATTTGATAAAAGATCAGTATCCAAAATATAAAGAACTGATACAACTCAATACCCCCCAAAAAACAAATAATCCAATTAAAGAGTGGGCAGAACACACGAACAGACATTTCTCCAAAGACAGCCAACAGACACACAAAAAGGTGCTCAACATCATTCATCATCAGGGAAATGCAAATTAGAATCACAATGAGGTATCACCTCACACCTGTCAGAATGGCTAAAATCAAAAAACAAGACACAGTGTTAACAAGTGTTGGTGAGGATGTGGAGAAAAAAGAATCCTCATGCACTGTTGGTGGGGATGCAAACTGGTGCAGCCACTGTGCAAACAGTATGAAGGTCCTTCATAAAGTTAAAAATAGAATTACCCTACTATTCAGTAATCGCACTACCAGGTTCTCACCCAAAAAATACAAAAACACTAACCAAAGGGATACATGCACCCCTATGTTTATAGCAGCATTACTTACAACAGCCAAATTACAGAAGCAAACCAAGTGTCCATCAATAGATGAGTAGATAAAGATGTGGTATGTGTAAACACACATACACACTCAGCCATTAAAAAAAGAATGTAATCTTGCCATTTGCAATGACACTGATGCAGCCAGAAAGTATAATGCTAAGCAAAATTAAGTCTGAGAGAAAGACAAATATCGTATTATCTCACTCATCTGTGGAATTTAAGAAACAAATGAGAAAAGGAAAAGAAAGAGACAAACCAAGAAACAGACTCTTAACTATAGAGAACAAAAACAGATGGTTACCAGAGGGGAGGTGGGTGGGGGGATGGGGGAAATAGGTATGGGGATTAAAAGTACACTTATCATGATGAGCACTAACACAGAATTATGGAATTACTGTATTACTGTACACCTGAAACACTAAACACACTGTATACTGAAACACAATAGAATACTCTATGTTAACTATACTGGAAAATAAAAAACTTAATAAAAGAAGTTGCGGTATATATATGCAATGGAGTATTACTCATTTAAAAAAAAAACCACAAGGAAATCTTGCCATTAGCGACACCAGCAGACCTTAATTTAAGGGCATTATGCTAAGTGAAGTCAGAAGAATACTGTATGATATCATTTATCCGTGGAATCTAAAAAAACATCAAACTCCTAAAAAGGAGATGAGATCTGCAGTCGGGAATGGAGGGATGGCAGTGGTGCTAGAGCAAGGTGGTCAAAAGGTATCAACTTCCAGTCATAGTAAGTATTAGAGATGTAATGTAAAACATGACTATAGTTAACACTGCTATGTGATGTATATGAAAGTTGTTCAGAGAGTAGATCATAAGTGCTCATCACAAAGAGAAAAAAAGTATTTTTGCTGCTTTTTATTCTATCTCTGAGAGGGTGAATGTAATCATTTCACAATATATATACATAAGCCAAACCATTGTGCTGTACACTTTAAACTTATACAGTGATTTATGTCAATTATACCTCAAAGCTGGGGGGATAAAAAGAAGAAGAAGATAGCAGGAGGGGAAGGATGAAGGGGGGAAATCGGAGGGGTAGACGAACCATGAGAGACGATGGACTCTGAAAAACAAACTGAGGGTTCTAGAGGGAAGGGGGTGGGAGGATGGGTTAGCCTCATGATCGGTATTAAAGAGGGCACGTTCTGCATGGAGCACTGGGTGTTATGCACAAACAATGAATCATGGAACACTACATCAAAAACTAATGACGTAATGTATGGTAATTAACATAATAAAAAATGCATAGAAAAAAAAAATCTTTCCAGCTGTTAAAATTCTGGTAGAGAAATCAAGTCCAGAGAAGTCTCCTCAGTTAACAGAGCTGAAATGTTATCTGTATATCCCTCACCACTCTATCTTATCTAGCAACCTTTTGGGTACATCAACAGAGAATGTGATAAAGTCAACAGACACACCAAAGGTAAAGCAGTGTAAGGGGAAAAGAAAACATCATAACCTGCGTACCGGGTGGGGAGAGAAGGAGACTCCGAAAGGAAAATGGAAGACTTCACTGTCTCTTCCTGACCTAAGTCCCAAATACATTAAGAACTCGGTTTGGCTCAATAAGCTCCCACCATGTGCTGAGCTGGATGCTGGGTATTTTAGGTATATGCCCTCATTTTATTCTCACACCAACCCTGTTTATCTCCATGTTAGGGTGACGCCAACCTGCCTTACCAATGTCACAGAGGCAAAGACTTGACTGAATTCAGGCCTGTGAGTTCATGTCTAGACTTGTTTGCAAGTTCCGATTCCAGACTTAGCATTTCAGAATCTTTAGGGGGAAAGTGCCCAGGAATCTCTATTGAGTGGCTTAAGGGATGATTTTCATGATTAGGGAAATTTGAGAGAAAAAAAAAACATACAAACAAAATTTGTACTCCCTGAAGACATAGGGTCACTTTTTTGGTAAATGTAGGGACCCTTAGGAACCAAGATGCTGTCTCAAGTAAGGCTGAGCAACACATTAAGGGACTTAAATGTAGCTTATATGACAGCTCTCCCTTTACCTTCTACAGATGGGGGAACCAAGGCTCATAAATTTTAAATGGCTTTCCATGGGGTGCCTGGGTGGCTCAGTCATTAAGCGTCTGCCTTCGGCTCAGGTCATGATCTCAGGGTCCTGGGATCGAGCCCCACACCAGGCTCCCTGCTCAGCGGGAAGCCTGCTTCTCCCTCTCCCGCTCCCCCTGCTTGTGTTCCTTCTCTCGCTGTGCCTCTCTGTCAAATAAATAAATAAAATCTTTAAAAAAAGAAAAAAAAATGGCTTTCCCAAATTCACTCAGCTGTTACCTGGCCAAACCAGATTGCCTGACTATAGCTCTTTCTACTATAAACACATTTTGATTGTTTCACACGTCAAAGCTTTTTCTCCCTACTAGGCTATTAAGTTCAACTGAGCAGGCCCGGTGAATTTCTTACTGTGCTTATTATTAGTACAATGCTCAGAATATTATTAGCTCATGATTTGCTGTCATCTACCAGTTAACCTTTTGCAATATGCACCCACATTTCTGTGACAATCCACGGAGTTTGTTATCATTTTTCCTGGACTTTGGGTTAGAGGAATGGGAAAGGAACATCATAATATGAAACCTTTGCCTGGCCTACCTGTAGCTCTCCAGTGGGGCAATACTCAGATGACCACACATTCCCAGCTGTGGTAAAAGATCTAAAATTAAGATTCAATATTATATGCTATAAAATCAAAAAGGCTTCAAATGGCCTAATTACAAGTTTCCCTCCCAACTCTGCCCTTATGGATAAGGTTCCCTACCCTAAACCTAAACCCTCCTTATCAAAGGACTATACCATTCCTGCTCATTTCTAGGCAGCAGGTTTCAGTTCAGGTCAGTCTATGGATTTATTCGAACAAGCCAATCACAATCACATCTTCCCACAGGAAGCAGGAGGCACCCCACCTTCTTGATATTCTAAAGGCTGCCTCCCTCCCAAAGCCCCCAGTTTACTTGGTTAAGTGCAACCCCCATGTGGCCTTGCATGGCATGCAGTGTTCTTTTCCCCTTGGCTATGATTTTGTAACTAATAAACTGCTGTCTGTGCCACCCAAAAAAAAAATCCTAATTCTACAGAGAGATCAAGTTTTCCTTTCTTACACAAACCCCCTATGACTACAGGAAGATGTACTTCAGGAGAAAACTGGGCACAAGGGGCCACTACTCAAGCATCTATGCAAAGTTTCCCAGACTACTACATGTCAACATCAGACAACCTGACAGACTAAATGGAATGGGTTTAGGTAGGCGCCACAGAAAAAATGAGCCCTACAATTAGGCCATGAAAATATAATTCAGAAGTGTCATCTGCTATGTGATCAGTGAGATAACTGAGAAAGTGTTATCTAGAGATTCAATTCCTAGCAAAACCTGGATCTCTGCTGGCTGCTCTAAAACCTAGTCATGATTATAGAGATAACGCAGCGTGAGGAACCCTCTCTACATTGGACTGTGGGCTGCTCAGGGCAAAGGTTGTGTCTAATCACCTCCATTCCTGATTCTAACCCAGTGCTGGCCACAGAGAATCTGCTCATGGAAGTGGCTGAGCCTATGCACATGAAAGAATGTTTTACTCTGTGAAAGACTGAGAACAGCAGTGAGCTCAGGTCTCTCCAAGTTCAGTGAAACTGGGGAACTGCCTGGAAGATTAAGGCTGCCTTTTTAGGTGTGGACACTTGCAGCTGAGAGGCTACCAGTGCTGCGTCCTCATACTCCAAAGGCCCTCCAGAGCTTGCCTAAGATGTCCACTGCAGACAGGGCTCCCCCTCTCCCCCGCCCCCCAACGGTTACCCATGAGCCTTTAAATAGGGACCACATATACTCTGTTCCCAAGGGCAGGTTAGTATCTGGGTTCTTCTGTACTTACTGATCCTTCCTAGGAGTCATATGGCAAACGATCATTTCAGGAGCTGTAGAAGTAAAGGGAGCATCTGTTAAGAGACCACCCAACTGGAATGCATGCCAAATCCTTCACTCTAAGACCTCAAAGTAGAAAGAAGCTAAAACAGGGGAGAAGAAATCAGCCACCATTCCTCGATATCCAATGGGAAAAAGCGTGACTGACCACATGGTTATTATTGAGCCCAAGCTTCATCTGCATAGCAAAAAGAACTAGAGGAAGCCAAAAAACCACCCCAGAGCTGGGAGTGTGAGGCCACAAGGTGCCAGAAATACAAACAGGTAGCTGGAAGGAAGGAAGGATACTCCATTCTTCCTGCTCTAACTCAGGCTCAAATTTCCCACCTAAATTCCCACCCCCAGAAAAGACACATGGACACAAGCCACCGTTAAAACTAGATTTGTATTTCTGGTTAGATTCCAGAGTGGCAGAACTCAGGAGTTATACTATATTCAACCTGGTCCCCACCTCAGCTTGCCTCCCTCCCTCCCACAAAGGTAACATTGTACAAAACTATATTTACAGGAAAACCAGTTAAAAACTAAGGGTGTATACAAAAGTAGACAAGAGAGCCAGAAATATCAATGCAGGGAAAGCTTTGGGGAAGAGGGAACATCTTATTACACACCAGAACCTGGGATCAATGTATTATGTACTAGTCAGAAAGAAGCATAGCAAATTTCAGTGCCAATTTTAGGGGGAACCAGTCAGTCCAGGGAAAGAGTGGATAGGAAAGACCTACTAGCTTTAATATTACAAAGTCTTAATTATCCAGCCACCCTTCTGCCATATGGGTTCAGAGTCATGTGGTGGGGGAAACATAACAGACTCTCTGACACAAGTCCCACAGGAAAAGAAAGGGCTCAGAAGGCATAGCGGGTCCGGATGTCCTCAAGCTTCTTGGACACCTCAGGTGGGGTTCGGTCCAGTTCTTCAGAGACGTTCTTCTGTTTGTTGGGCTCCATGGAGTTGAACTGCTCACAGAGATCTCCATCTATCACATTCTAAGACACAGAAAAGTGAGGAAGAAATAGGTCAAATGCTTAAAGAAAGTGCCACATGCTAAAGCAGCTGCAAGAAAAGCTTTTATTCTCTCAGATATCTGAACCATTTACAGAGCCAGGAACACTACTCTAAGTTCATCCTTAGTGTCCCGTTTTCAGAGTAGCAAAACTGGGTGAAGGCTCTTCTCTGGCTGGGGTCTGCTCCGGGGGAAGAGGTCCCTGAATATCACCAGCCATTCCTCTCCCCCTCCCCGCCCCATTACTGCCTCCATCAATCCACTCCTTTGATTCTCCTTCATTCAGGACTGTTCTGATTTTTAAGGGAGGGAGGGCCACAGAAAAGACAAGTTACATGGGGCGACGATGCCCCCTTTCAACCCAGATTTCCAACAAAGACAAACCTTAACAGGGAAGTAATAGGAACGAAAGCTGAGGTGGTCTCGCCCACAGAGAGGGGGATGCTCAGACCGCAGGTGCATTTCTACATGTTGGAAGAAGTCATGGTCCTGGTAGAAGAAACAAAAAAATCTGTCACTAAAAGAAAAAAGGGATTTCAACTACTAGTCTACGGTTTCCAGAAGCACAATGAACAGACAAACCATTGATTTTTTTTTACCATCCAAAAAGATGTTAACTATCCAACTGCTCCTCTGACAACCACAGGTTTTCCTGCTACAAGATATCTAAACCTGAAAGAAACCCCACCTGTATTTGCAAAACACAAGAGAACACCACATGTAAAGACTGATTTGTGAAGTCAGATTCCTGATCCCAGCTTCCTTAGCTGGAATGACATAACCCAATTCAGCCAATCCTAGAGTTGACTTGAGGAGGCAGGAAGTACACAGTCTACAACACTGTAATGATCATCATTCCTAGTCCGTGGGGTGTGATTCTGGGGCTTTGGCCTCTAACTAATCCTATACCCACACCAGAACTGAACCAGACCCGGGGTGCCTGGGCGGCTAGGTTGCTTAAGTGTCAGACTCTTGACTTCGGCTCAGGTAATGACCTCAGGGTCCTGGGATCAAGCCCCATGTTGGGCCCCGTGCTCAGTGAGAGTCTGCTTGAGGATTCTCTTTCCCTCTCCCTCTGCCCCTTCCCCTGCTCTCTCTCTAAAATAAATAAATAAATCTTTAAAAAAGAACTAAACCAAACCCTGGTACAGTATAAAAACAAATGGCTTGGGTGGGGGGGATCAGGATTCCTATCTTCCCAGGTACTTCTGTCACCTTATAAAATTTCCAGAACATCCCTAGCTACATGTGGGGACAAAAGATTTGCCCTCTTAGGCTGATTTAGCACCAAGAAACAACCCTGTGAAGGAAAAGGCCAGAAGAGTATGGGAGATTTCACCTCATGGGATGTGAATGGGACAAGGATTCCAATTCCTCCTGACAAGGTGGTATAGACAAGTGATTCTGAGCCTCCAGGGATCAGTGTGGTCTTCTGTAATGACAGCACTGTCTCGCCCACATGGTAGTTCATGATCACCTCTGCCTGTAAGTTGAAAACAGACTAGTAACTATGTGTGCCCTCCGGACCTGTTCTAGATTCCCAAGAGCAAGCAGTACCTCCAAAGGGCAGATTTCACCTTCTTTTAAATACAAACAATACTAACATTTAAAAATACTTTAGAGGGGCACCTGGGTGGCTCAGTTGGTTAAGCGACTGCCTTCGGCTCAGGTCATGATCCCAGGGTCCTGGGATCGAGCCCCACATCGGGCTCCCTGCTCAGCTGGAAGCCTGCTTCTCCCTCGCCCACTCCCCCTACTTGTGTTCCCCCTCATGCTGTCTCTCTCTCTCTCTCTATTAAATAAATAAATAAAATCTTTAAAAATAAATAAATAAATAAAAATACTTTAGAATGTTCTTAACATTTACTTGAGATTAATGTCCTCACAATGCTGAAGTTAGATCATTTCTGGTAAGTCCCACACTGGGCTCCTTGCTCCGCAGGGAGCCTGCTTCTCCCTCTGCCTGCCGCTCCCCCAGCTCTCTCTGACAAATGAATAAATAAAATCTTAAAAAAAAAAAAAAAAGAAAGAAAAAAGGCAGCAATCATAGACTTGCTCTCTAAAACATATCTATTTTAAAAGTCCAGAGTTGCTCTACTACAGAAGCATATGCCTACAGGAGAAAAGTAAAGAGCCCAGAACAACCCCTCAAAAAAGAGCTGGTTAGTACCAGGAATGACCCTGTGCAACAATTTTTTCCAAGGAACACACTATGCTCTAGTCACTGCTAAAATGTCTTGGAAAATTCCATTTTGTAGTGATAAAAATGGAATGGTGACTTGGTCATTGTACATCAAGCCCAGCATCTACCCATCAGAGGCTATGAAAGGATTTCCATGTGCAGGAGAGTACTCAGCATAATCATGTGCACTGCAGGTAGCTGACTAAAAAAATGTTCCCTCGGGGTACCTGGGTGGCTCAGTCGTTGAGTGCCTGCCTTCGGCTCGGGTCATGATCCTGGGGTCCTGGGATCGAGCCCCACATCAGGCTCCCTGCTCAGCGGGAACCCTGCTTCTCCCTCTCCCACTCCCCCTGCTTGTGTTCCCTCTCTGTCTCTCTCTCTGTCAAATAAATAAATAAATAAATAAAATCTTTAAAAAAAAAAAAGTTCCCTCAATGTGGGTCATGGGGAATGTACCCTGAAGGCTGGCACCTCCCTTCGGGGTCCCTTCTGCAATCTTACCTTCTGAGAGGCCCCGTTGAGCAAGCCCCGGTCCCACAGGGCTTTGTTTCCTGTGGGATCCTCATCCACTTCGTCATTGGTATTAGGTGGGAGCCTCACCTATAAGGAAGTGACATAAGTCACAGGGCTGGGTCATGCACCAACTCACCTGCATCACCAAGCAACATGTTTGCCCCAGATCCTTGACAAAAGCAAGCCTGGACACGACCTTCGGCAGAGGCCTGAGCCTGTCTCCTACAACCTGGTGTCTAAGTGACAACCTCAAGAGATTCAACCCATGAGCAAGGACAAAACAAAGGCTATAGAACATAAACAAAAGAAGTCAAACTGGGCTTAGAAAGAGAAGCCAAAATTCTTGCAAAAGTAAAAATAAATATTACTCATTAGCTCAAGTGAAACCTATCATCACTATTAAATCATATTCCATAAGGAGGGAGATGGACCAGACTAAAAGACTGATAAGAATGGGGTGCCTGGCTGGCTCAGTAGAGTAGGCGACTCTTGATCTCAGGGTTGTGAGTTTGAGCCCCATGTTGGGTGTAGAGAATATTAAAAAATAGTAATAATAAAATCTTTAAAAAATAAAAATAAAGACTGATAAGAGGGCACCTGGGTGGCTCAGTTGGTTAAACGTCTGACTTCAGCTCAGGTCATAATCTTAGGGTCCTGGATCAAGTCCCACATCGGGCTCCCAGCTCATGGGGGAGTATGCTTCTCCCTCTCCTTCTGCCCCTCCCCCCGCCCCCGGCCTGCTCATGCTCTCTCTCTCTCAAAAATAAGTAAAATCTTTAAAAAAAAAAAAAAAGAGGGCTTAAAGAACACAAAGTTTCCTTTTTAGAACTGGCCTTACTAGGATTGAATTTTATACCTATTTTCAATTTCCATATTAGAGATCATAGTCCTGGGTCCTTGACTTTACCACCGAAAATAGCCAGCTTTCCTACACATCAGTGTAACCCATGTAAACATCAACTCACCACACAAATGTTGCCAAACTTGTCTGCCCCAGCCACAGTATCATAGTCCAGGAGGCTAGCTGTAGTGACCCATCGTGGGTAAGTATCATCGGCGAAAATGATAAGCTGGTTCTCATTACGCTTGTATCGAACCCAGATGAAACTTTCTTGGACATCAGACACAATTACCCTGTGTCCAATAGTCTGGATCCCAGAGATGTAATTGGCAATATGCTGGGGAAAAACAAGGACATCAATGGGTATAGCCTTGAAATTCAGAACCCAGAGAAAGTCCAGCTTCCCCTGATTGTAATGTATATATAGGGCCTACAGAATGGCAGTCAATAAAGTCCTAAAAGATGGAAAAAGAGCTAACTGGTTTTAATACAGTGGATATGTATGCTCAATTCTCACAGTTAAATACTCTGTAGTAGCAAACAGGACAGAAATCTGGTTCTTAGTTTGAAGAAGTCAAGAAACCCACCTAACTTCTGTCCTTCTCAAGTCTCAAAGGCCTAATTAATTCTAAGCCTGGAACTGAGGAACTACAAGGTCCTAAAAAGTCATAGAATTTTAAGTTACTGTCTACCATACCGCCAATGTTTCCTCCTTCCTCACTAGCTAGTTCTGAGGCCCTGTACCAGCATATTTACCTTGTTCTCACACTTTCGGAGTAACTTCTTCTTCCCCAGATCATAAACTCGCAGAAGCTTCCCCACACCAATCAACACCCTCCCCTGGAATGGGGCAATGGCAGCAGGGACCTCTTCCACTGGAGTCTGTGAGACGAAAAACAGCCAATGCAGCTATGAGAACACCAGCCAAATGCTAGCCCCACCCTCCTGACCCAAAACGTTTTTACAAGACAGACAATGAGTAATCACCTTTGGCTCATCAGAGAAATAAACCACATATACAACAGTCTCCATGAACAGGTCCCACACACTGCACGTCACTTAGCAAACAGATCAGTGCCACATGTGAAAGGAAGCCCTGACGCCCAATGAATGTGGTTTCAGAGCCCGTGATAATTCAACTGTTGCCATGAACAGTGAAGCCTCAATGTTGGAGAAGTGACTGCTGCTTGTGGAGGGATGGGAAAGGAGTGCTAGTGACAAGTGACATCTTAGTTGTAAGGGAGATACAAGGAGTTTAGCACAAAGAAATGAGTAATTCCTTCCTAGAGGACACTCCCCTGTGGAAGGCTGAAGGAGCTACATGCGTGTGCTGTCCGTGTGGAACAAGAACAGGACTTTTTTCCCCCTTAATTTAAAAATTGTGATAAAATACATATAAAGCTTACCATTTTAAGCATTTTTAAGTACACAATTCAGTGGCATCAAACAATTTCAGTGTTGTGCAACCATCACCACCACCCATCCCGAGAGCTTTTCCATTTTTCCAAAGGGAAAGTGTATCCATTAAATGCTAATTCTCCAGAGAATATTAATTCTTTAGAACCGCTGGATTTTTAAAAAATAAAAAAATAAAAAAGAACTGTTGGATTTTGGTTACAAATTGGCTACCAGGGGCCAATTCTGCATACACCTACGTCACCACTGTGGCTGGTTAGCACGCAGGTCTCCTGTGGGACTCCCAGGCAGTAGAGCTTCACTGGAGCATGAAAGCCCCAGGATTTTCTGTTTGCCACCAACAGATGGAACATCATCAATCTGGCTCCCAAAATGGTCACCAGAAGACCTGACCCACAACTTAAGCAGAAGTGAGAGAGTCCAGTAGGACCTAAGATCCAGGAGAACCAATGGCTGGTTCCTACCTTGTGCAAAAACTCCAGTTTTTCCCCATTGTTCACGAGCTTGTAGGTATAGACAAAGCCCCCTGCTACAGACCTGGGGTTGAGGATCAGGTCTTTGGCCACGCCCACCAACACATACCAATCATCACCAGTGTTGGAGAACCTGCACACGGCCACACTGCAAACACAGAAAGAGGAATCAGGCAGTAGTTACAGCACAGAGAATTCCCATTCCAGCCCTCAAAACCCTGGATGTCCTGAGCTCCTTACCTAAATGCGGCCTCATTCTGTTCTAGCTGGACAAGATCCAGCGTGTTCCCTTGAATAGGATTCATCACGCGGATCACAGAGGCCCATTGCCCATTGCCAGCCTTAGGAGCTCCGAAAATGGACTCAGGGAGGTTTTCATTGAGGAATGCTGCTGCCATCTCTGCAGCGAGCTCCCGCTCATCCTCCCCTGCTGCTTCTACCATTTCCTAAATAAAAAAAACAAAATCACACACAAAAACGGAAGAGATGATATATTCAGAGGTGGGTGGTGGGTGAGAAGCGACAAGTAGCGCAACACCTCCAGGGGGACTTCATTATCATATAAGTAGCGAAGTCTGCGGGCCAAAACCAGAGTTCCCGAAATGAAGATTAAAGGGAGTAGTGTACAGACAAGGGGAAGAGGGAAACCACTAAAGGGGAAACCAGGTACTCCGTTCTTTAATGCCAAAAAATCTAACATCGGACTGTGGCAAATACATGGCACGTAGCCTGAGATACATAAAATGAAAACACCACTTTCCTACCTACCCCCTCTGATTTCCCTTACTACGACTCCTTGTCTCATCTCTTCCAGGCCAGATACAGTTTTACATGGTGGGAGCTATTTGTTTTTTTGCTGGGAAATGATTTCTGGAAAGAATTGAAAGCTGTCTCCTTTGGGCCTGAACCCAGGAAACACATACACAGACTGTTTAGGAAGCTCAAGGACTGAAGAACTCTGTTCCAGAAGGAAAGCTGAGTACTGAATAAACCCAGGTCAGTGTATTAGTCCCAAGTCACAAAAAAACCTCTAAAACCAAGGATTGAGGCAAAGGGCTCTGCTTAAAGGACCTGACAAGAACCTGGGTCTTTTTTAAAGCAACAAAGAATATAATCAGCAATTACACGAGTTTAAACTTTTCAAGAAAATTTCACATGAATGCCTTTTAACTAAACCCTGAAGGTCAGTCTCATTACCTCTGCCATTTGCTGCTTCCTCTGAGCTTTTGTTGCCTCAGTGTAGGCATTGTGGTCAGTCTCAATGATGATAAGGTTGTTACTCTCAGGGTGAATGACAAATTTCCTGGGTGTGTACTGCAGTGGAAATGCTACTTGATTGAAGACAGCACCTAGCTTCTCCAACGCTAAAATCCTATGGGGGGAAAGGCAGAGAATTAATAGATCACTCACTCAGGATCTAGAAACTCATATCAAAATGGTCCATAGTTCTGACAGTAAGTACTCTAAATGCTGTTGTTTCCAAGAGTTCTGCTGTTAACTACTTCACACAGTGGCTTTCCCTGAAAGATTTTCTGGGGAGGAAATGCTCTACCGCTACAAATGTGAAAAAATCTGTGGGTGTGTCCACATTTATATGAATTCGGAAGAGAGGGAGCACCCATAAATAATGAGAATGTCCATGAATGAGGCAAGGTCTTGACTGGCAGAGATGTGTGTGGGAAGCATGCCAGGGTACAGAGAAAAAAAAAAAACATGAGGCGAGAGCAATTCTGCTGGAACAGAAGGTACATGAAGGTGTGAAGGTTAGAGAGAGAGAGAACAATGACTGAAAAGATCCTGAAAGATGCTGCACAGAAATCTGGGAGTTCACTTGGTAAGTCATCCATTTAACAAGAGGCTATATAGTTCCTTTTTTTTTTTTAAAGATTTTATTTATTTATTTGACAGAGAGAGACACAGCGAGAGAGGGAACACAAGCAGGGGGAGTGGGAGAGGGAGAAGCAGGCTTCCCGCTGAGCAGGGAGCCCGACGCGGGGCTCGATCCCAGGACCCCGGGATCATGACCTGAGTGGAAGGCAGACGCTTAATGACTGAGCCACCCAGGCGCCCCTATATAGTTCCTCTTGATAAGGTTCCTCTTATGAATAGCCAAGAGTTACGACCAGGACATGTACACAGGTGGCATTAAAAGATGAAAAAAGAAAAAAATGAAACCCCAAACTTGAGAAAGTCAAACTGAATAGCTTATTTTTCAAACTGACTAGCCATCTTGCAATATAATAGTGCTCACTCCAACATAATCAGCATAAATAACAGTCTGTCAATTTGCAAAAGGCCTAAATAATTTATACTGAGGTTAAAATTGGAAGACCTAACACTGTAAATGACAGGACCAAATGAGAAAAAGTTATCAGTGATCCAATGCCTGCCTGCTCTAAAACTAATCTAACAGTACTGCCTTGGAAAACAAGACGCTTTAATCTCAAGGAAACTAAACTGTACTGCTGAGTATATTAAAACTTGGCCCTGAAAATCTAAACAGAAGCTAAAACTCTAAACACCGAAACTTGGCTACCAGGTACTTATAATCCTGAGCCAAATGAATGTTTCAGTTGCAACACTCTAGTGCCGTGGTGAAGAGTCGGCTCTCTGCCATCACTTCGTTAACTTCTTCCAGCACTCTGGCAAAACCACAATCCCAGTCGTTGGCAGAAAGGATTCCCACTGAGCTTGAACCGTGGGACTCTCACCTCAGGGTATTGGTGGAGATGGCCACAATGCCCTCAGGACACTGTTCAGAGGCGAAGCCAGATGCGAACTCCAGGGTCTCATAAGACAAGGGAGTGAGATGGAAACGAGACTGGTAGGAATAGCTCAACCACGATCGGCTGGACATGGCCAACACCTGAGGAAAGAAAAACATTCCAATAGGCTTAGGAAAAAGACAAACATAGAATGTTAACCACAGACCTTATCTGCAAATTTCAGTGTGCACAATATCCCAAGGAATTTTAGAAACCTAAAAGGCTACCTTAAGAAAAAAGAGAACCAAGAACGCCTGGGTGGCTCAGCTTATGACCTAATCACTCAATCTCTCTAAGCCTCAATTTCCATATGTGTAAAATGGGAATACTATAACAAGCCCGGACGGTTTCAAGAATTAAATGCAGTAACAAGTAAAGAACTAGCACAGCACCCAGCAACAGTAACATTCTTAGCTACAAAGGACACAATGTTTCCCAACCTCTTTCACATTACCCAGTAAACCCTGGTATTGATATAAGGTTGCTCATGGTAGTGGTACCCTAGATAGAAGGTTTCTAGCTACCTCTCAGTCTGCTCCATTTGCCCAGCCTAGAGCTGAACAGATTGATATCCTATTCCACCCATAACCAAAACATAGCTCAGTGCCATGGAAAGCTCTGGATTAAGGGACCCCAGACTTCCCATAGGAAAGAAGCTAATTAAGAGAGAGCTAATATCAAACTAACTATATATGGGTGAATTAATGAAAGCAAAGCTTATGCCAAAGGAACTTTTCTCAGCTGATGCCACTAATGTCCAAACATGCTGCCTGCCCCCTTTCATTACTTACTGCCTCCTGGCCTTGCATCCGGACACGAAAGAGTTTCACAGGACGGGACCCCAGGTACCTAGTGCGGGTGTCAGACAGATCCCCAGTGACAGGGTCCAGGACAGTTCTTAGCAGCACACCATTCTAATAAAAAGGAAAAGAGTGGGTGAAGCCTACTCCTAATGGTAGCTCCCTTGGCTACTTCACAGAATATATAAGTTCAGAACAGGTGGAAGGAAATGACTTGGGGGTTTAAAGAATATCCTAATAATCAGCCAGCCACTCATTCACTCTCACTAAATCACTCACTCAACTCAAATAGTTACTGAGCATTTACTAAGTGAAAAGCACTTATTTTTCACTACATATATGTTAAAATTCTTCCTACCATGCATGTTAAACTCTTCTTTATAATTTTAAATTTTAAGATACATGCATAGTGGGGCGCCTGGGTGG